ATTGACAACATTTAATCTTTCTTGATTTATGATTTTACCTTCTACTATTTATTTTGTCTAACAGAAAACAATTCTTTCATACAAGGCAAATTCTCCAGTATTTTTACTCAAATACATAGAATGCTTTGTTTTAAAATATCCATTAGAAACAGTTCAAGCAGACAAGATGAGTATATATAGAAAAAAGATTGTGGTAGACATTTGTTATAATCAATACTTTCTACATCCCCGTAGTTTCTAATTAGTTTTTTTTATTGTAAATGTGAAGAATTTGTAATATGTAAACAATTTGAAATTAGCTTAAGGTTATTTTTGGTGCAACTACATAAATTCAAAATTTAAAAGTGAAAAATTGTGTATGAATATTTTACCTGTTTATTTGCTTTAAATAAAGTAAATGTAAGACAATATTTCAGTTTTTTATTGTAAATGTGAAGAATTTGTAATATTTAAACAATTTGAAATTATCTTAAGGTTATTTTTGGTGTAATACGTAAATTCAAAATTTAAAAGTGAAAAATTGTGCATGGATATTTTAGCTGTTTATTTGCTTTGAATAACGTAAATGAAAGAAAAAAAAAATAAATGAGAATATACTTTAGAATATACACTTTATTAATGTTGACAATTCACTGCAAAAATACAAAATAAATATTTTACTATCTATAATATATGGATAGCAATAAATGATGTAAGTAGCATGTTATACATACATCATTTGTCAACATTATGGTTGTTAAAATAAAGCAAAATAACGAAAAACAAAGCTGACAACAACAAGCCATTTATTTTTATCCCAAACAAAAATATTTCAGTCATTCTTCACTCTATCTTTTGCTTTGGAGCAAACGAATTTATGTCAGAAGTAACATTTGAATTTGAAGTTTCATTGGAAGATTTGAAAAGGGCTTTCTTTACTGCAAGCAACGGATTTTCCTTAGACGAGTTTGTATGAATGCTTTTCTCAACATTTTCTTGCCTTTTTTCACTTGGGATATTTCTATCGTCTAAATATGTCAAATCTGTCACGAAGATGATGTCAAATCTATAATTTGACGAATTAGACTCAATTTGGAATGCTCTCAAGTAGAATACTCGTGGAGTATCCTTCATTTTTTTAAGAATAACTTCAAATTTTGTCTATGAATCCTGTATGTCAATGATGTATACTTTATTAATATTATGATGTAAAAAGAAAGGAATAAATGTAGTCTATCAAACTGTTGATGAGATAATTAACTGCTGAATAAACATAAAAATGAAACATTATTGGCTAGAAATATCATCAGTAAAAAAATGTTTCATAGACGTATTAGAGTCCTATAGTTATGGTTTTTTTTATAAATCATAAATATTGGAGATTCCCTATTTAATAGTTCAAATACACATATATCGTCAATTTGTAGCTGCTTGTCTGCTAGAAAATCTGCCCAACCTACACTAAACTGGCGCATTACACCATTTTTTCTTGAATATGCGGTGATATCCCAGTAGTGAAGTAAAGAGTCGAGGATTCGAACATTTTGCACATGTCTTGACAAATGATGTTTTGCAAACCTTCATAGAATAGATTGGAAAACACGGATTAATGATTTACTAATATTAAGAGTGATATGGAATAGATAAATACAGAATGACGTATTAAAAATAACACCTACAATTTCTCGATGGTTATTATGATCCAGCGTAAGTTTTACTTCAAACGTAGGATTATCCATATTTAAATCGTCGTCGTCTATTTCATAATTTGGGTCATATGTAATCTCTGCTCTAGAATGATCAAATATCCTCATATTCAAGATTGAATTTCCATTAGATTCAAATACTACAACATAACCATCCTGTAAGTTATGATGATATAAAAATTCTTCCAATCCATTAGCCAAATATATTTCTCCGTCAATTCTTTCTAACTGTACTGTGAAGATTATACCATCATATGCAATTAATCGTAGTGTGTTACCTATTTCTGGTTCCTAGTAATTGATAAAAGATGTATGAAGCATCTACAAATACAAAAAAAATATATATATATATATAAGTTGTACATTAATATTAATAAAAGATTTTAAAAAATCTAAAAAAAGAAATTATTATATAAATTACAAAACGAATGTTATGACTTAGTGAAACATTGATGATTTTGGAGAAACTATTTGGCACATCCATTTTTGTGTCTACTAAATTTAGAAAGAATTACATACATCATATGATTTAAAACACAATTAAATATTGGAAATTAGACATTATGTAAAACTAAAAAACTATCTAAAAAGTAAGAAAAAAATAATAGACAGCACCTGAATTTTTTGAGTAAAGTAGGGCTGGTGTAACTAGCAGGTAAAAATATTTAAATTTTTTTGGTGAGAACAAATAGTATGTGAAGGTATTTAAGCTAAAGAAATGTACGTTGCTTTTTTCAATGATTTGACGAGAGGTTCACATGTAAAATAGACAAAGTATTCCCACGGTTGTAGAAATAGACATAATATGTGCAGTGGTTTTGACACCTTCTTACAGGATTCTCGTGACTCTACAAGATTTGTAATGTTTTGCAATATTTTGTGGGAACAAAAAATGAAAGAAAGAGATAATACTTTTTTGTTTCTTGTATTAATCTTTAACCAAAACAATATATATTTTATTTAAAATTTCATATAACTCAAAATATTGTTGATAATATTTAGAGAAAGCAATGAAGATGCGGGTATACCCCTCATTCGAGTGATGTCGTATCCTGCAGATTTGTGCGGGTATCGCAAGACATTTCAATGTGTGGGGTAACCGAACTTTGTGAGGGTGTGCTGACTACCCCTTACAATTACGTGCGGGTGCACAGGCACAATTGTTGTGCGGCGTAGCCCGCACAAATTGTTGTGTGGGGTAGCCCGCACAATTATGTGCATTTTTGTGGGGCTACCCCGTAAAAATTTTGCGGCAGTGTGCGGTGTAGCCCCTCACATTCTCCGTGTGTAAACGGGAAAATAGACATCTTTAAACGGGAAAATAGACATCTTCACACAACAAGTCAGCACCAAATTCCTGTGAAAGTTGAAAATGGGAGTTTCTTAAAAAATTGATTATAATTGTGTGGATGCAACACACCACACATTTTCTGAGGTCTCACCCCGCACATTTGTACGTGTGTGTGTGTGTGTGTGTGTATGATTTTTTATTTCTTTTGTTGTTAATGGTATAGTTTAATGATAATTTCATAACTATACTAATTTTCAATTATATGATTAGTTTTCATTAACCATTATTATTTTGCTAGTGTTTATCAACGTGAATTTCAACTTACCATCTTAAAAAGTTTTAACTTTGACAACTAAATATAAGAAATCATGTCACTTACAAAATAAGTTTCTGTAAGTATAGATTACTTGGATGAAAATAAATCTAAATAGAATACAAAAATAAATACAAGATTTATCAACAAAGCTTGCAACAATAATTGATGTTATCTAGCACCCATAAAGCAAACCAAACACCCTGATGTATATATCATTTCTAATCTAGACAGTTTAAAAACTATATAATTTAAAAGAAGAGAATAGTTGTTGCCAAAAAGTTCTCAAATATCTCAATTATCATCCACTTTTTTTTTCTTTTAGTGCAAAAGAACTTGTGTTATTTATGTCTCCATCACAAGTAATCTTTAAGTCTGAAGACTTGAAAGCTTGGTTTGCCTCAGGTAACCAATTTTTGAAAAGAGTGTGCTCCAATAATTTTCCTATGCACCAACATTTCCTTGACTTTCTTCAAATAAATTTGAATGTTCATATGCTGCATAAATTAAATTGATTTAGATACTCTGAAAAAAAAATATTTTGAAGTAGAATGTCATTTATACGTTGAATAACAATTTCAAAATGCTAATCAGTTAGAATTCTTACAAAAATGATCCACTCCATTCCATTCATCAACTTCTAGAATAATCTAACATCTGCATTGTAGTTGGGGGAAAAAAGCATTTCATTTAGCATAGTCGACAGAGAAATCATGGATAAAAAAAGAAATTCCAATAAATCAAACACATACCTATAAAGAGGTGCAGTTGTATGAATGTATAACGAAAGAACCTATTTGTACACAACATTTTTAGTACATGAGTTATGCGTATGATTTTCATTGGACGGTTTAAGTAGAACTTTAATAGATCTGCTTGTTTTTGCTCTTAACAGTGCTACATATAATTGACAATGGCAGAAAATTGGTTCTGGTAGGTACAAACCCACGAAATCAAGTGTCTGACCATGTGCTTTATTTATTGTCATTGCAAAGCATGGTCTAATTATGAATTGAATCCTTTTAAATGGAATCGTAGTTCGATCAGTTTTAAGAGGTATGAAAGAGATCCTAGGTAAGAAAACTTGTTTTCCACGATATTCACCAATTGTGATTTCAGCAAGAATGACATTTCTCTCAAATTTTCGACAGGTAAGGCGTGTTCCATTGCATAACCCCTCGGAATGATTGATATTTCGTAATAACAATACATGACAATTCATCTTCAGTTTCAACTCATGAGGTAGAATACCATTAGGTGTCAAAGTATTCAAGAAGTCTTCCTGTAGGCTTTGTTCTAATTTCTCAATAGCTTCATCAAAACTATAGTACGTGAAACTTTGACTAGGAATTTTTTCAAGCAAAAGTCTATTAATGTAGTCAACACATTCATTTGTAGGCGTAAGAATAACACGATTGACCATCGTATATAAATGATCGGCATATGTGTCTATATTGGGAAACACACATTGTATCAATTTTTTAAAGACGTAATTTCATCTTCGAGTGGTAGAACTATACTATTTGGTAGCTTAATACAGTTGCAAGTATGTTCTTCTTTTGTTCCACCTCCAATTCGAAGTAAGTATTCACAAAAAATGGGATCGAACTTCGCTCTCATATTTTTAACTAGTGCTAAATGTACAAAAGAAGGCCACAAATACGAGTAAATCATGCTAGCCTTTATTATGTATTCTTTGTTTCCCTTAGGTACAATTGGTAGAATCTGTCTAAAATCTCTTCCTAAAACTACAACTTTTCCACCAAAAGACAAGTTACCTTCGCTCTCATATTTTCAACTAGTGCTAAATGTACAAAAGAAGGCCACAAATACGAGTAAATCATGCTAGCCTTTATTATGTATTCTTTGTTTCCCTTAGGTATAATTGGTAGAATCTGTCTAAAATCTCTTCCTAAAACTACAACTTTTCCACCAAAAGACAAGTTATAATCAGTGATTTCTCTAAGCATTTTGTCTACAGATTCTACAGCACAACAATTTACCATAGGTGCCTCATCCCAAATTATTAGCCTACACATTTTCAATAAAGTTCCTAATGCCGATTGTTTGCTAATAGAGCAGTTGACTTCACCTATCGTTTCTAGAGGGATTTTAAATCTTGAATGAGTAGTTCGACCTCCGAGTAATAAAGATGCAGCCACTTCGGACGATGCAGTTGCTAAAGCTATGAAATGACGATATCTGACATGTAACGCCCCGAAAATTTTGGAATAAAAATATATTTGTCTTATATGTTATAGTTTTAAAATTTGAGGACTGAAATGAAATAGCGTTCAAAGTCATATTTTATTTGGCACCAATAATTACATTTTGATAGAATGAGTATAAGTATATCAATATTGGGCTCATTTTGTAGCTCGCATTTAATAACGTATTTTCAGCTCAAGAAAATATGAGTTCTTTTAAGTTAAAACTAAGTTATTTCAATTCAAAGAAACATAGATAATAAGCATCGTTTTTATTATTTAACAATATTTCTTTGAAGATAATTAGGAAAAGAAGCTAGTATTTTATCATAATAATCAATGTTTATCTTTTCTATTAGAGAAAGAGATTTAATTATTTTTAATCCTTGTTTACATTTATCTGCCAATATTTCTGATTTTCTGGTACTCGTGATTTAAGTAGTTTGCAAAGTAATATGTAGGGAGAGATATTTTTAGTTAACTATGATTGATTGATGTTTGGATAAAATAATTTTCTTTTAGATTAAAAATCCATTTGCTTTGATTTTGGAATCCTACTTAGAATATTGATTTAACATTTATGACTTTTTGACCATTCTAAGATGACACACATTTTTAGGCCTAGCTTTGAATGAATTGGTTATTATATAATAATATTTTTGGACAATCTCTAGCCTCTAGGCATGATGCATGGCAATCATACCTTGTACTCTCAATTGTGTCAATTGCCTTTAAATTAGAATTGGTAAATTTCCTTATGATAAGAGTATGGGTAGCCACACGTGCACGCACATTTCCAACTCTCAATTAGGATAAAGGCTAATTTTAATTGCTAATTGAATTTGAATAATGGTAAGACACGATTTGAGGCCTCTAACAGATTTAGTTATTTTGGGCATATAGTCCAATTAGGCTTATAATATACTATTTAATTATTTATTTCATTTTATATGATGATATGATAACCTGTCATTTTATGTAAATTGACATTAACTTGACCATTCTTATGTTAAATAGATCCTAATTAATTTAATTTGATTGATATC